ACGCTGACTTTCATCAGACTGAGACTCATTCAATTATCTTTCACGTCTGTTGATCTAAAACTACAGGACTTGAGAAGTTGCCTCTTCCTATAAGTCTGTGGCTCTAAATGACTGGAGCTGTCCTAGCAGTCCTGATGCTACCTTCTGCCTTTCACTCACTCTTACTGCTGACTTGCTGCATGTGAATTTTATAACTTGTTTTTCTCTGCTTTTCATTCATCAATTACTAAACTGATAGAAAATTACAATGATATTAAAAATATATTTTTAGAGCTGGATTTAAATTCTTATTCCTGCTCATATTTTATCATGTAGTTCTACTTTCTGCTTTCCATAATCTCTGACAAATAATGAAAATTCTCCTCAAAAGCATGTGAGTCCTGCTATTATCTTATAAACCAGCCTCTCATTTCTGATAGGGTGTACTTATTTAGTCTCATCAGGGAAGCTATACAACCATAAATTTGTGAGCACTGACACTAATGCAAATCTGTGGTCTTATAGCTCAATGTAATTCCTTCCACATCTTTGCACCGCCAAGACTCAAACTTATTCCTTCTAGAAGCAAAACCATCCCAGACCTCCTTGTCCACTTTGATGAGCTGTTTAGTTTGGTGCCCAGTCTGACACATTGCAACATAAAAAGAAGTGGTGCTGGCTCAGGCAAGTATTCCTCCAGCCCAGGGTCCCTAACTACAGCAATAGCTGGTGCTATGTTGGACTTGAGCCTGGCCCCTTTTAGTGGTTCATCATAAGGCAGCCCTGCATTAGGGATGATAGATGGTATATCCTGCCTGTATATCCTGCCTATTTTCTTTAATATCTGTCAGTTTATCAGTCATCTATGGATCTTGGTACTCCCTTGTTTTATATCATGGCAAATGGTCCATGCTGTCTTGCTCTCTTGATGGTGTCCAGCATTTTGTTCGTTGTTTAGGCTGCCTCAGTACATTAGGCTGATGATTTGAGGTTCTGAAATGATACCAGTGACAGCCTTATGATCTTTCTCCTGAGTTTAAACTGCCAGTTCCAGGTTCAGCATCATGGCAGCACCTGTGGGCAGGTTTCTAAAGACCCCATGCCATTTCTGATGGTAAAACCTTGGGAAGGGTTGGTCAGGTAGCATGCTTGAAAATGCAATACCTACACTGGGGCCGTCGTGCCTAATGCATTATTCTCTTAAGAGAAATCTCAATCTTTTGCCTTGTTTCACCCTAATCCAGAGGCCAGCAGGCAGAGCTGCCAGGCTAAGCAAACTCACGTGTGTGCTGTTGCTGGTGAGTGCACGCAGCGACTGCACAGGACACGAGCTCCCTGTCACTAGATCTGTTTTCTCTGTGTGTGTATTTCCTGACTGATTTTAACACAGAGGTGTACAAAGAAGCTGGGAAACTCTGACTCTGCAATTATATCATTGGTCTTGGGTTTCCTGATTTCACCTGTTTTGTCTACCAGGTTTTTAAAAGTTTCTGCCAAGGCTCCCCCATTCCTCCACGCTGAGTCTGTACAGCACCGAGGCTGCTCCGTTATTTCTAGTAATCGCTGCTTTTTGTAATCAGTCACTTTTGTAAGCGTGACTATATATCTGTGTCTACAATCACAGACTCATAATGTATTTTACCAACCAGACAGTTTCCTGGAAGTTGAAAGAGGGGGAGGAGTTGGCGAAGTGGACTATGCTGTTGAAGAAATCCATTACATAATGGAATAAATGGCTTTATGCCTGAAAGTTACAATTTTCAGCATCATTTACACTGAACACCAGCCCCAAAGAAAGGCAGGTATAAAAAATGAGATGCAGTGATGACCTTTTTCAGCTGTGGTGACAGCTATAAATCAGGCTGCAAATTCTCATCAGCTCACTGGACAGAATTCATTACAGACACAGGTTGCTGCATTGCTTTTTGTCTTTGATTGAGGCATGTCCCATTTAAATAAATGCCTTTTCCCTGGAACACATCACACATTTCAAAACAGAAGTCCAAGAACATTATTCATTGATTCCTTTGAGGACTAAGATAATATGACTTACAGACCAGCTTTTGCTTGGAATGTAATGCAGATCAATTTGTTCTTCTGTTAAGCAGACCAATTTTCTGTTCGTTAATTCAGATGCTGTGTTGATGCTCGTATTGAATATAATAGCAAGATTTACAGCCCTAACAAATCAGTGCCGCTTCATTTATTTTTCCTTATTCATAGCAGAAATACATGCAGCAGATTAACACCTGATTTTAAACTTGTTACACTTTAACAAATAACGGGAAAGTCTTTCATCTCCTCCTTCCAACTATGGAGCAACTTTAATGTGATCATGCTGAAGTTTCACAGTTTATTAAAGTGTTATGTTTTTTTGGAGCACAGCGAGCACAGTTGGACTGGATGATCTCTAAGGTCTTTTCCAACCTAGTGATTCTATGATTCTAATAACAATTTAGTAGCAATGTCATTATGGGCAGTAATGAAACTTCCATCAGTTCATGCATTGCTCAGGAAATAGCTACCAAATATTAACAGTCCCACAGGCTCATTAGATTAATAAGTTATTTTACCCATGTACTGAACTTTGAGCAGAGTTTCATCACTACTTTTTTCTGTAATTAGGCAGTATCCTGAGAGGCTTACAATTATCCAGATGCTTTCCTGGCCATGCTTAAAATGTGATTTTTCTGTCTAGGACTTAGTATGTAATTGGAAAACATTCCGTGTTGTTGACATAGGGTGGTTATTAAAGCAGTAATCTTTTTCAAAATGTCTGATAATTAGGTAATATTCTACCTCTCAGCTTAGTTATTCTTGTTATTTCTGGAATACCTGAAAATAAAAATTTTGACTCTGTACTTATAACAAATAATGCTTCAGCCTTAACAGCCTGAGGATATAAATGGCCAAGGTGTATAGGGAGCATTAACACCTTTATTTTATCACCTCCTAAACCGTTGACATAAAGGCATTTCTTCAGTACCTGGGCACAGAAGCTGGAAGTTGAAGTTGTAAATAAGTTGGTGGTAGATCAGACCCCAGAGATTCTCTCTTCTGGTGTCTGGCCCAGGACAAGAGCAAACGCTTAGGGAAGATTTTAAAAAGCAGGTGAATTTCTCGAGTGGATAATTCAGGATATCCTTCCAGTCCCCCACAATCTCGGGTTCAAGGGCTTTCTGGAAAGTGTGTCCCCTCAAGACCCTTAATCTGTGATGGATTTTTTCTTCCATTTTTCCAATTCTTGTTTGGACCCAAATGCAGTTGTGGCACCAGCTCTACTCTGGGACTGTGACTTCACAGCTTGCTTACCTTCTGCATGAAGAAATAATCCCTTTTATTTCTGTTGAACCTGTCACTGTCAGCTGTCATTTAGTGTCTCCCAGTATTTATTTTGGAAAAGGCAGGAAATGAGTATTCATTATTTATCATTTTCCCCATGCTTCTCATGACATTTTTGACTTCTGTCCCAGTTCTGTTCAATCAGTTATTTTCCAGTTCGAAGAATCTTTGTTCAGTCAGAAAAAATGTTTTAAAGTCGCGATTATAATCAGGCATGCTTATGAAAATGCCATGCCCTGGAAAACACTCCAGAACTAATGAAAAAATTTGAACACTGTCTAATCCAAACAGAAACTCTTTTCATTGTTCTAGTCTCAAATGCAAGTCTTAATCTAATTCAGATCCTGCATTTTTTATTCAGGACTGAAGATGTTGATAAAATTTATTCCATAGTTAAAAGAAAGAGATGCTATCAGAACTTTGCTAGCAGTCTGAAGGGCTGCTGCTGTGACTTGGACAGTTAGAATGTTAAGCCTCTAAAATCCTGTTGTTTAGAGAGGATCATCTGTATTGCAGCAACAGTTTGGCCTCACAGAATCTGATTCATCCCCAGTCTCAGAAAAGACTTTTTCATCCTACACTTCCATGGAAAGCTGTGATATGCAGGAGATGACTCTTTTTCTTGATAATAAGTAGAGTGTGGAAGCTTTTTGTCTGCACTTTCACAGCATTTTACAAAGGTGGTTAATGACTGTGATGAGGATTGTCATCACCGGTTCTGAAATAAAACAAGACTGAAACATGGATGAGGACGGAGTATGCCAGGTCTGTATACCAAAATTTTGGAAGAACTGGGTTTCGGGACAGATGGGCAGTGCGCTTCTGTGTTTATAATGAGTTGGGTCTGTGAAGCCAGTAGGATTTAAACTCAGCTTCAACTCATCCCAGGACAAGCCATGGGTAATGTTTGACTATTCATGTGTCCGTAACACTTGTCGGATACACCATAGTTGCCATCCTGAGGTAGCCACAGTGAGGGCAGGCAATGAGGAATTGCTTTCCTGGCTGAAACTGGAAGCAGAATTTTGGTAGGATATATCAGGTCACAATCTTAGTTTAGCCAGGTTGCAAAAACACAGTAACCCTTCTCCTGCGTCAAGAAGAGCTCCTGACACTTTTAATGGCAATGGGCTTAGAATTAATGTTTTATATGTGGGGCAATGCACATAAGCACTGATCAGACTTGAGCTTCAGTTTATGACATCTGACAAGATCATAGCCATTTATTGTTGTAATGTTCTTTCACCCTGAATCTTTGGCCATCCGTGCAACACTCATTTGGAGGCTCTTTCATACGTCTCCCTCAGCTTTTCTGTCAAGTAGGTTTTGGGCTGTGAGCTGGAGACTATCTCCTGTCTGTGCAGCAGCTACCGTGGAGTGTTCTTGTCCTTGTCCTGAGTGCTGTGACAATCCCGAAGTGCAATAGGAACAAGCTGATTTGTCTTGTTCCAAGTGAAAATGGCAATTTCTCCATGTGCGTCTCCTGGTATAATTTGCAGGACAAATGGAAGAGCTGGAAGATCTGCACAATATTAGGTGCAGATAACAGCAATGGCTGCATAAATATCTGTGTTCTTTAGAGACAAGTTCTCAGCAGTGCTTTTGGTTCATGCCCATAATTAGCTAGTACACAGACAAGTTCAGCTTTCCTTAATGTTCTTTTCTCTTCCTCCTTGCAGATAATGAATTCATTTATAGAAACCAGAATGGCACAGTGATTCTGAGGAATGTCGAAACTAACAATTCAACAATATTAATAGAAAACAAAAAAATTGTAAGTATTTTCTATAATGAGAAGCAGAATTTCACAGTTCTGTTGCAGTTGGATCAGTAAAGCAGAAAATGACTTGGGTTTCAACTTCATGTATTGTCAAGTAGCAGCAATACACTGGTTATACTGTGGGCTACGCAGTGATTGATAATGTGAAATTGAACTCCAGCTTTTGTTATTATTCTGCAAGCTCAGTTTCTTTCATACTACGGGAAAGTGTTATATAGATAGTTGAAGCTAGTCTTGCATATCATATATAATTGAAAGATGCATAATTCTCATCTTTGCATGCTTAATAGAAAAGACAGTTGATACAATTTACTGTCTGTTGGTAGCATTCTCCACGTTTCTCCATGCAAATACTTATTTTTTTAATTTGTGGATTTGCTGATTTTTCTTGCCTAATGGTTGAAATGTATTTCAGTGTTGTTAATGAATAGTTTTGATGACTAGCAATGGAGTTACATGTGAGAGAAACCCTAAGAAATTATTGAGAAAAGAAGTTAGTAGGTGGCTATTAAAATGAATGCAAAGAAATTCGCAGCTCATACAGAGTATTATTTATAATGATGTAAGTGTTTTGTAGCATTGTTTGTTGTAGTAGATAAAGCCAACATTGTTGCAGAAGTTAGTACATTAAATGTCAGTGTTTTCAGCAGTTCCTGTAAGTTAATTCCTGAAGTAAAATACACTTATGTTTGCTTCAGCAAACTCCAGATGAATCCTGTCATCACATATGCAGTATCTGCCCAAGGTTTTGAATAACTTAGTGTTTTTATTTTACTGTATCACTGCAAAACTACAAAAGCAGAGGATGTCTAACAAAGACTTATCTTAATGACCCAAGATCTGCAGAAAACAGTTTTAAAAACTCAAAAGCTAAAAGTAAATGTACAAGAAAACTATAAAACCATATTCTAGGTTGGTTTTATTTTGCAGTATATGACTCATACAAAGCTCAAGTACAGTATTAATTCTTTCTTAATGAGACGAAGAATTTGTCATGGAATTGTTATTGCAGGACCAAACCTTCAACTTCACATGCTGCCATTTAACCTTTAACTTTTGCTACATCACATAAGCAATCCTCATTTACCAGAGCATAACCCCTATCGTTATAATTCTGTGAAGGGTAAAGGAATGAGCTGGCTTCCTTTAATGTCAAGGTCCCTTGAAGTCAAACTGCCTCCATTTGGCTTCTGTTTATTCCCCTGTTTTTTAATTTTTTCCATTTGTAAGAAAAGCACAGTGTTGCAAGATAATCCTACTTACTCTTGATGTGGCTTCCCTACTGTCTGTTCTAGCCCTGCTCCTCTGCCCTCTTGATAAATAGATCTGCAGAATATCACCTCCACATGAATGCAAAATGTACTGATACAAGAGCCATCATTACACCTCATCCAGGCACATTACCTTTGTCCTCTTCTCTCCCAGCTCTGGGTTGGAAAAACCTTTTTTACCTTGGCATGTTTTCCTTTCTCTGTGTTATTAATATAATTAAATAAAATCCGTCTTCATGCTGACACTGCTGGCTCTTATGCTACTCTGGCACCCCCTACTCTGATCCATGCTGGCCCATCAACCCTTTAGGTTGCCCAGAGAGGTTGGAGATGCCCCATCCCCGGAAACATTCAAGGTCAGGTTGGCTGTGTCTCTGAGCAACCAGATCTAGTTGAAGATGTCCCTGCTTATTGCAGGAGGCTTGGACCAGATGGTCCTTTCCAACCCAAACCATTCTATGACCCTGTGATCGGTCCCCTCTGCCTTTGGCTGTGCCCTGGTTTCACCACCTCCAGCCTTGCTGGCCTTGGGGAGGACTCTCCCAGTTGGATGCTGTGCATTTCCCTGCAGCCCAGATTCCCCCTTCCAGTTTGCTCTTTGGGAATCTCTCAAGGACTTGCATCTAATTTGTTAGGTGCAAGGGTAAGATTTGAAAGGCAGTGGGTGAGCAGCGTGTTAGTGACACCTCTCTTTGACCTTGGTGCACCAGCACTGTGTTATATTGAAACACCCTGGAAAGGAGAAGGGATGTCTGCACTATACAAATGATAATTGGAGCAGGGAGAATGTAATTCCTGTCAAGTCTGAGATATTTTGGCATCTCTTCTTGTTAGTAAGACTAAGAGCGCAGCTTTTTGCAGAACCCAGGTCAGGGTGCACCTGGAAAGCTGCATCACCACAGCATCCCAAAGACTTTTTTAACTGTGGAAAATGCGACAGTTTTGCTCAGTGTTGCCTTGAGACAGGTAGTGGTGTCTCTTTATCATAATTTGCTCGAGACGGTATTTACTGTTTGTTATCTTCAGCACTTTGGCCAGGGGCTGCAGGGAATGAGTGGGAATTAATACATTGACATTTATCAGGGTTTTCTACTACCTGCTGCCCCACCAGCCGCTGTGCAGTAGGATTGTAAGGAAAATTCTGATTTTTTGTGACAGCTGCCATGTCTAAATCACAATGCAGTTATGCTTTCTCTTATGGGAGTGTATATGTGACCACATACCGTTTCTGATTTTTGAAAATAGATGCAACGTATTATTTTTCAGGACATGTAATCTGGCAGTATTCTTCATCATTAGAAACATGGTCATAACAATTAGTTCTAGATGGTTTTGGCTTAAAAACTGAAAAGTATTTATTACAATGTCTGTTTTATTTTCTAGGTCTCCTTAAAAGCTATTCGATATGAGGTGTCGCCAGACCGGGAATATGCTCTTTTTGCTTTTAATGTTGAACCAGTAAGTAAATAGACTTGATTTCAAAATATACAGCCAGCGGTGGGTTTTTTTTGGTTTTGTTTTCCCCATTCCTGTGCCAGTAAGATGATATTTTTAATTAATCGCTTCCTATGAAACAAAGAAAGCAAACCCCTCACTTAGATGTTCTGAGAGCATGTCACACTGCCATCTAGTAGAGGAGAAAGGTATAAATTACACCGTAGAGGAGACTGTCATTGCCAGGATTTTATCGTCTTCAGGAAGGGGGATTGTACGGACATGTCTTTGCTACAAGGATTTCTATTCCTCTTCTGTGTAATTTTTTTCCATGCTGCCTTTTTCAGTCACACTATAAATTTTTTCCCAAGAACAAAAAACAACTCTCAGTGTCTCCCACAACTGAAATAATACGTTAATTATGGTGTCACCGTTCCCAGTGCTGCAGTTAGGGTTGAGCTATCACTTTCATTATAAATCCTTTTCTTCAGAGGGTTAGGTATAAATCATTTGTAAGAAATCACTGTTGGATTACTATTAAGTTTTACATTAGGGTGAATTTTCTACTAAAATTCCAAAGAAAAAAGTGTAATGATTAATTTTTAAATGATGACTAAAGAATCAGACACATGGGAATCGGTTCTTGGGCATGAATAATATTTATTTTCTTTTTAAATTCAGCTGGTTAAGACCTGAAATGTTTGAATCATAGCTATGCTGTACTACTTGGATAAACTATAAGCCCCGTACATTTTGGTTCCACAATCTAGAATTGCACCAATTCCTCAAAATGAGAATATTTCATTCGCCAACAACTGTAGTTCTCCTTCCATAAAATAAATCTAGTTTCAGCTGCTAAATTTGTTAGCCCTTTAGGTGCTAGAGGTTGTGGCTCTGTTGCTCATCTAATTTCTCTGCTGTCATCTTTGGAGTTATTCCTGACTCACAGTGGTATAAAAGTCAGGAGAACCATGCCTGGTGTTAGAAAAAAATCAACTAAAACTGTATCAGAAACTTCAGGGGTAATTCATAATGGCTTCTGGCTGAGAAATCGTTTTGGTGCAACTGAACTTACCCGAAGCTTAGCAGAGTTCTAGGCAGAGGTGGATGTGGAAGTGTTAAGTTAAATCTCTGTATAGGGAAGACAGCCTAATGGCCACTGAGCACGCAAAGCCTATGTCTGAAAGGCCCCCTGCCTTGTGTGCCAGAGGTGTTTTGTAAAATTCAGTTCTTTTAGTGGAGATTGGCCTTTGGTTGTGGAAGCCCTGTGCTGACACTGCTCTGGCTGGAAGAGCCCTGAGCAGAGAGGGCTTCCTCAGTTCCTCTGAGAACGAGAGAAAAATCCCTATATCAAGAAAAATTATAATGAGAGGGAAGAAATCATTCCTAAAAAGTGGTAATAAGAACTTCCCTTTTTATTCTCAACCTTTACCTGTCAAAAGGGCTGCACATATGGAATATCTTCAAGAAGTAAAGTTACAGAGGCTTTTGCAGCCTTGTGTTCCACCTGCAGAGGAATGCTTGATGCAGGCAATGGAGGAAGAGGAGGATGGGACCGAAAGGGATGGGCTGGATGCGTTTCCTCCATATCCTTCTCTTTACATGTCCGTGCTTGCAGTTCTGTGGTTTTGCGGTGCAGGCAAAACACTGCAGGGTTTGGTGCTTTAGATGCCCGTCTGGAGAAGAGAGAGCAGCACACAGCCAGGTGCGTCCTCTTCCTCACACCATGTCTTCTTCCAGAAAGGAAAACCTGAGTGGCAAGCTGGAAATGTGACCTTCGGGAAGATCTCAGGATGTCACTGGTCATATGTTTGGTTTCAGAGAGCACTGCAAATTGTTCAAGTATTCACATAGGAATTTATGATAGCAAGAATTCCTGAAGTAGTCTTCTGAAACAAAACAAAACTAAAACCCCTACTTTTTTTTTCTTTCAAATCCATGCTTATATACAATATAAAGATAGTATTTTTTTTTAAAGAAGCATTCTAATAGAGGGGTAGGAAGATTCACTCTTGAACATTGCATCCTTAAGCCATGATGAGTGGTCCTTTGTTTATTAAAGTTGCAGTAACTGTTAAATTACTTATTCAGCTATCTTCTCACTTGATATACAGACTGTGGCAACAGATAATTGCATGTTAGTTAGCTTTTCACGTTTTTTTTGCATTTCAGACTGCATTCTTGGACAAAATTCAAATTATGCTGTTTTCTGCAACACAAGAAAGTGATTAGTAAAGCCTTGGGCAGTTGTCCTTGTTGCAAAGGCATAAGGAAATTTCAGGAAATGTATTGGCAAAGGAAATCTGTTCAAAGTTTAATTGTTCAAATACTTTCAAGAAATAAACTCTTTAAACTATTGCATACTTAATTTATAGATGTCAGTAAGTGTTGCTTTTTTTTTTTGCTGTTTAAAATTGTGAAGTGCTGCCTTTTAATTTTTTGTGAGTACAAATGTTTTCAATGTTTACACAATACAGTTGTCCTGCATTTACATATGTGTATAATGTCTTAATATATATTATATGAATCAGTCCTTCATCTAAATTCTAGTAGGGATGGATTCAGTCTCTATTTTTTAAGAACAGCTAGGAATAAACATCAAAATAGGAAAGCATTGTGTGTCACTCTTATGAAGTTAAACATTTTAAGAAAAAAGCTATGAAATCATTTCCTGACACAGATAGCTTCCTTCTAAGGTTTTTCTATTTATTTGCACAGAGCATCTCAGTGCAGTATTGGGTCTGGGTAATGGCAGTGACACCTACATTGGATTAACACAGCCCTGAACTGGCAGAAACCTACTTTGCAAAGATATTGAGGCAACTAATGTGTGTTTTCCTGTTGTATCACTTCATCATCTTAGAGGATGATGAATTAAAGTGTGTTCCTTAAAATATATTTCTCCCAGGAATCTTGGCAGGCTGTTGTGAGACTGTCGTGGGTACATTGTGGCTAGTCGGGCTGTCAGACTTCATTCTAAATGCTTTTTTGCAGTGCTTATATTTACAGAAGTTTAATCTTTCAGACAGCAATATTCTGGGTAAGCCTTGTGCTAATAGGGAGCTCTTCTAACCTTGAACACAGAAGATTTGTTCTTTTTCTAGAAAGGTCATAGGGAAGGTGCCAGGCTTCATTGTCTCTTGCAATTTTTCTGTTGTTTGTTTGTTTTTTGTTTCTTTACACTAGTGCAAGGTCCAACTTGAGGCTGAAACCACAGAAGTTTCGGGAAAGCACTGAGGAATAAATACACCCATAGAGAAACTTTGATTTCAAATCATCCTTCCCCAAAACAAGTGTGTGAGGCTCTGGATATAGAGTTCAGTAACCCCAAAACACGTAGGGAAATGGGGGTTTAGCAACAGTGTCTCAGCAGAAAGGGTGCAGAGGGTCAAGTCTCACAAGCATTGCTCACCTCCCAGGGAGACATAGAGGTCTCTGGTGTTTGGGCTGGAACCACATTTGTTGGTCTCCAAAAGGGATTTCCTAAATAGCCAAGTGACAAACCACCTCTTAAATTCCATAGTGTTTCTGCCACTTGGGAGGGTGATGGGGTAAGAATAATGAGGAGTAACCAAACCCTACGAGGTTGGGAAGCTTTCTGTGGTTGTCGGGGTTAACCAGTGGAGTCTGTGTAATGGTGATAAAAGAAATAGAGGAAAATAAATTAGAAGAAAAGTGATTTTCTTGAGTGACATGACATTAAAGAGAGAATATTTAATTGCCTTTATTATGAATAGCTGTCATTGTAATGCAAGAGAGGAACTAAAGTGGCCGAGATTCTTCTTAAAGCTATTTGTTCTTCATTTCCAATTTACCAGTCCATTACTGTGTTTGAGCTAGTTAAGAGCAATTACACACAGGAAATCCTGGCTGATTAATATGGACCAAACTGCTAAGTCTTCTGAACAACAATTAGGGCTTAGAGACTTTTATGGCTGATACAACAGCCCCTATTACCTATTTTGCAGCTGAAGGAATGCATTTTTATAATGCTGAAAGCTGCAAAGAATTAATCATTGTTGTAATTAGAGTAGGCCCAACTATTTTTTTTTTTTTTAGAGTAGTTTATGCAGTGAGTGTAGTATTTCTTTTTTCCTTGCCTGTTGCTGTAGATCTCATGGGAGTGGTGGGACAAAAGAGACCTCAGAAAGACCTGGTCCAGACCCTGGACTTTGTTTTTAGAGCATGAATGAAGTAGAAAAGCATTATTTATAGAAAACAGCATATTATTATTGTTGTTACTATTCTTACTATTGGCCCAAATCTGGTTGTTATGTGGAATGGACTGGTATTGTGCTTATGGCTCCAATTACAACCTCATACTGCTTTAATTAGTCATGTAAAAAATAATATAACGCTTGTTATTTCCAAAACACTGATGGATATAAATATTAATGAATCCTAACAACATCCTTTTGAGTTAGGTGAGAACTATTATTATGATAAATATGCCTTTGAAAATCAGAAACTGTCATAACTTATCACCAGTAATACTGCCAATATTGTAGCTATGATATTTATTACTTAATTGAAATGGATTTACCATTACTAGAAATAGGTTTGTGTAAACCTCTTTTCTTTCTGTGATAATAAATATATTTCACATTTACTTTTTTTCATTCCCACCCAATGTTGTTTTCAGGAACAATGAGTATGTACCATGATTACGCTATAGAAATTGAGCGCAGTTAGACCATTTGCACCATGAAATAATGCCACCTGGTTTAGTGATGTGTTTAATTTTTGGTGTTTGTTGTAAACCCGTAATGTTTTTGAGTGGAGCATTTTGAGAGAAACAGTCATGTTAATAGTTTTCATATCCTTTTTTCCATATGACTACAGTTTTGAATCTCTGTTGCTCATAAACCAGGACTCCTTCCCTATTGTAAAACTGCACAATATAAGGGCAATGTTGACTATTATCAAAGGCTCGTGGCTAAAACTTTTCCCAACATTTTTAAACCTAAAGCACTGTAAATTTGTTTGTCTATGAGAATAAGTTACCTGTTATTAGAATAAATAAT